TTGGGCTAATTTTACACAATGAAAGTGTTTCAGAGTAACAAACACTCAGGACCAACATGTTGGGGGGGGGCTAGATGAGGATAGGGTTAGATTAGCATCATAATCACTACTGAAAAAACAGTTGAATGGCTAGCATTTATATAGTTCTTCAAGGCTTGCAAAGTGCTTTACAGATCTACCTGGGAGGTAGGTGCTATTGTTATTCCCATTTTACAAATGAGGAAACTGAGACCAACAGGTTAAATGAGTTGCCTATGATCATGAGTTGCCCGTGGTCAAAAGCCCATGCTAAGGTGAGATTTTAATTCGGTTTCCTGATTCCAAGCCCCATTCTCTATCCATTGCACCACCTAATTACCTTAAAATTTTGAATCATACCTCTCCAACCTCACTCCCCATCCTAACAGAAGGAAAAGAACACGAGGTTTGGAGACAGGACCTTGGTTCAAGTACTATTCTTGCTACTTGCTAACATTGTGTCTGTGGGTAAGTCACTTAAATTTTTTAAGCCACGGTTTACTCATTTGTAAAAGTGATAATTATGTTTGCAGAATTAGATACCCAAGAGATTAAAAGAAATTAGGCTGTCTGGTGGCAACATACCTGTATAAAGTTAGCTGTCAAGAACACCACATGGTGTGCAAGTGCCTCTGAAAAACTGGAAACAAGTTGCACTGCACCGAGGGCAATGGAGAGGCACACAGTAAAGGTGAGCAGGAAGTTAACCTAGCAACCAAGGAATTGTGTGTTATCGGGAGAAGATGGATTGACTGTGTTGGAAGAGTAAGGAGAGAAGGGCTCTACAGGTATCCTCAAAATGTCAGGAGAAACTGAAGAAGGCCCACAGCCTGATGGGTGATTTTTTCGAGGACTTGGGCAAGGGCCTCACTGGATTTTGTGTGATCTGCACTGTTAAAGGCAAATTCTGAATTGACGAGGTCAAGGTCTTAGAGCTGGGAGGGGTCTCCATCCAGTCCAACTTTCTCACTTAACAGATGAAGAATCTGAGACTGAACAGTGATGCAACTTGCCTGGGGTCCCAGGGCTGGTAATATTATTGCTCCAAGTTCAAAAAACCTGCCTCTCACAGACCCCTTGGAGTACTTCATAGGACAAACTGCTCCCTTTTCACAACTACTGCCTTGCAGCCCATATTGAGACAGAATCCTTGGCTTCATGGGCCACAAACTTAAGAGCCAGAAGGGACTACAGAAGTCATTTGATCCTTCCCCAGGTTTTCTTGTTTCCAAAGCCAGTTTTTCCTCTTTTAATCATTTTTAGTCATTTGGTGTTTCTTTCTGAGAATTTGGGATCTGGTTTTCTCAGCAACTAAATCTTTATGATTTTTTTCTTTGTTGTCAATTCTTGAGGCATTCATTTTGTGACTTATCCACGTAACTTTGAGATGCTAATGTGTGTAATGAACAATCTGGAAATTCCATTCTCTTCCTTATCAGTTCACTGGATTGATAGCCTGAAAACTAAAAGCATCCCCCATATTTAAAACGGTCTTATTTCAGTTGTTTTGGCCATCTGAGTTAGGATCCTTTTGCAATTTTAAACCTGTTTTGCCTTATGTCAAGCCTACTGACTACGACTCACCAAAAGCTAAATAATGATTGAATACTGAATGTGAAGATAGTAAAAAAAAAATGGTGCAGTTAAGAGTCTACATTGTATTGTCTGGTTAAACTACAAAGTAACATTAGAGATGAGAAGTTCAAACAGTTCCAAGTGTATTCAGAACATTTTCATATACTCAGGCATAGTGGTGATCAAATGTGGTTTAGATGTTCTTTCCAGTAGTACAGATCACTACCCATCCTTGCCTGCCTATTCTATATCAGTTTGGTTCCTGCCCTTGGGGCCAAACAACTGCCAAAGGACACCCCTAAAGCAGGGGTGACTTTCCAGACCAATCCCCGGATCAGAAGGTGCCAGTGGCTCCCTATCACCTCTAGGTTTGGCACTGAAGGCTGTGCCCTGTGGGCCATCCCCTCTATCTTGCCTTCACCTCTTGAAATCATTAGCTTCTTTTCAAGGTTCAGCTCCAATGCCACCTCCTACACACATGAAGCCCTTCCTGGATAGATCTGGTTCCACCCCCAACTGCTTTACATATTCCATATGCATATGCAACAAGGTAAACCTTTGACTCCACCCAACCAGATTCCCTATCTCACTCCCCACTAAGGCTATTATTATAAATCTTTGCTTTTCCCTTAAGCCTCCAAAACCTTCCCTCCAACCCCTTATCCCACAGATAACTTTCTAACTTTACTGAGAAAACAAGAGGACATTTGATCAGAACCAACTTCTCCCATTCTCTTCAGCTCAAAAGCCCTACATTCATCTTCCCACTGAGACCTTTCCTCTAGTCTGACAAGTGGCTCACCCTTCAATCACTTTTGTACCTTTGATCCCATTCCATTCTATTTCCCCCGCAGAACGCATCCTCAATCATCCGTCCACCCACTCAAATCTTCAACCTCTTCTAATCTACTGGTTCCTTCTCCTTACTAACCCCAAACATGTCCAAGTCTCCCCTATTCTTTTTCCCCCCATTCTTATAAAACTTTTTCTAGATGCTACCATTCCCTCAACCTGTCATTTAATATTGCAACATTAATGTATATCATATACTATACATTTAATACTTTATACCTCTCCTTTCAACCAAACTCCTTTAAAAAGATGTCTGTACTTACTACCTTTGATTCCTCCACTATCACACTCCTCAATCCTCTGTAATCTGCCTTCAAACCTCAAATAAAACTGCTCTGTCCAAAGTAATCAATAGCCTCTCTTAATTATCAACTTAAATTCCCAGTCTCCTACCACATCGACACTGTCAACTCTCTCCTCCTCCTGGATTCTCTTCACTGTGTTTTCCTGACACCATTCTCTCCTGGCTCTCCTCCGTACCGTCTGACTGATTCTTCTGTATCTTCTTCCATACCTCATCCTTCACATTATATTCCTGTAGACTCTCTTCTTCCTTGGTAACTTCATCACCTCCCATAGTTTTAAATCATCTTTATGCAGATGACTTTACAAATCCCTATCTACATATCTGTATCTATATATCCAGCCCCAGTTCCCCACCCAACCCCCAAATTTAGTCACTGCCTGTAGGACATTTCAAACTGGATGTCCTGGAGAAACCGAAATCTCAACCACGTCCAAAACCAAACTCATTATCTTTCCTCAAAAACCCTCCCCCTCCTCTAAACTCTACTATTTCCAATCTCCTAGGCTTGTAACTTCAACACTTAGCCAATCAGTATACATAACACAATTGGCCAAACTCCACAACATCCCTTCCTTCTGACCTCTTCTGAAATTCAGCTACAAGCTCCCCTCCTATCCAACAGCCTCCTAACTGGTCTCCTACCTTATGCTCCTCCCCACTCAAGTCCACCTTCCCCACTGCAGCCACATCTAGGGTTAATTCCCTACTAGCTCCCTATTGGCCCCTATGATAAAGTATTAATCAAGTCCTCCAACCTACCTTCTCAACCTCATTGGTCAGGCAGGACCCTCCCTCTAGCACTTGGGAACTCAATCAAATAAACTTGTTTGTTATTCATAATGACACTCCAACCCCTCCAATTCACAAGATCCTCTTCAAGATAGGCAGTTCAAGCACCATCTTTCTAGAGAAACCTTTCCTGATCCCCCATGAATTAATGCCTTTTCCCTCCCAAACCAACTTTATATTTAACTGCTTTTTATTAGTTCACTTTATATTTATGTTGTAAATATATGTATATGCAATTGTGGTCTACCCCATAAATACTTCCGGCTAGTTTTTATAAAACACTTTAAAGTTCTCAAAACATTTTACAGATTATTTCATTTCAATATAAATTCCTTGGAGTAGGGATTATTTCATTCTTTGTAACTTCAGTACCTATCACAGTGCCAGTGCCTGGCTTTTCACAGTAGGCGTAGTATATGTTGACTGCCTCCCCCCCCCCCAATAGAACACAAGCTTCTTCAGGATAAACTTAATTTTTGTCTTCCTATTCCCAGTGACTAGCACAGTGCCTTACACGAAGTAGGTACTTAACAAATTCTTGGTTAATATACAGCATCTAGGTATCTAGACACTAAAAACATAAAGACTTTTTCTTTGAATAATACTGGTTTGATGATATAACAGAAAGGTTATCTTCTGATCAGTCTGCCATGTAAAACATTGAAATTTCCATTGTTACTGCTTTAACTTCACTTGTATGGTTTCCAATCAATCTTCAAAACAATTTTTAAAACTAGGTTTAAATGTCCAAGTGAGGAGAAAGTTAAAATAGCCTCCCTTTTAAGAGGAGCTTCTTCCCAAGTTATCACTTCGGAAAGCTTGTAATGGGCACTTATTGCAAGCTATTTTTGCACAAAGGATCCTTTGTTGGTACAATGGCTTCGACTCCGTTGTGTTCCAGAGAATCCTTTCACACCAATGCTTCCATTAGAGAATGCCAGAATTCACTCATCTCGCTAGAATTCTAACTGATAAAAGGGTCAAAGCTTGGTTCTGGTAAATCCCACTGGGACTCCTCGCTCCCCTTTTCCCCGGGGCCCTAGCCAGGAGATCTCAAAGTAGGACACTTCAAAGCCAATTCTGCAGCTCACCATCCACAAGGCAGCTCCACCCCTACTCCACCATATGTGGGCAAATTCCACACCCACCTATAGACTCAACCTATGCAGGCAGGCACCCACCCCTGACCCACCATATATGGACAAACGCCCACCCCAACACACCGAGACGAGCAAACTCCGCCCCCTAAAAGTCATGCTTAATCGCGAACACGCCTCTGAAGTTTACCACTTCCCCCCCCCACAAAAAAAATACAGCAGAGAAACGTCCTTAAGCGCCTTTGAGAGGGCAGCGTGTCCGCAGAGTCGGTGCCCACGGCGCGGCTCGGGTCCGCTCCGGCGCGGACAGACAAACGGACGGACGGAGGGACGCACGCAGCCCCGCGCCCCCCGGGGCTCACCTTCAGGTCCTTCTTGGTCACATCGATGTGGGACACGGCCCGGATAGTGCCCGACACCCAGGGCCACTCGTCCACGCGCTCCACGTCGAAGCTGTGGCCGCTGCCCCCGCACTCCTTGGAGGCCGACACGCTCAGGAACCTCTTCCCGACCAGCACCGGCCAACTTTCTCCGAGCGTGAGCACCATGTCGGGGGCGGGCGTGTGCGGGGCGTGTGCGGGGCGCGTGCGGGGCGCGGGCTTGGCTCGGGCTCGGCCGCCGCCGCCCTTTAAAAGAAAACAACGGGGAGCGGGCGGGCGCGGGGGCGGCGGGCGCCTGGGGGGAGGGGAGGGCCCGAGCCGGCGCAGGGAGGGGCGGGCCGAGGAGGGGGAGGGGAGGCGGCACCGCCCCCGCCCCGGGCGCCGCCCGACGCACGCGGCCCCCTCCGGCCGCGCCGGGCTTTAAAACCGCTCCAGCGGCCGAGCGCCGGCGCCGGCCCCTCGGCCCCGGGGGAGGCGGCCCAACCGCCCCGCCCTCGCACCCCGCCCTTTCCAGGCAGTCCCTCCCGCCCCACCCGGTCCCGGCCGAGCCCGGGCCCCCGCCGGGGATTTACCGGCCGGTGTCCCGCACTCTCGCCCTCCTCGGCGGCCCCTGCGGGCCGTGCGCTGCCGGCTAGCCCCGGCGCCCGAGGCTGGGCCGCTCAGTCAGCACTCCTGCTCCGCGGACGGCGGCGCCTCCGACCGTGAGCTCCCTCCGGCTCGGTCCAAACGCTCTAGCCAGACACGCACAGAGCCCGTGCCCGCCCCCTCCAGCCGCTGCCGCCGCTGATTGGCCGGCGCGAGGGGGATGGGCGGGGCCTCGGGGAGAGTCGGCTCCTGCTACTGGTCGTGAATCCAGAGGCGTGGCGAAGGGGAAAACAATTCCTTGGCTCCCCCACCCCCCCTTCGCGTCCCTCCCGCCCCCTCCCTCCCCAACTCCAGTACGACCCCCCCTCCTCCGTCAGACTGACTGCGCGGAGGCAGAAAGATCCCTCCGCCGGCGGCCTATTCTTTCCCAACGGGGGCCCGTGGACTATGTAAAGAAGTTCCCGCCACAGAAGCGCTCAACTTTGTGGAAAGCAGAAAAGGAAGTCGTGGTACCCCCAGGGAAGAATCACCTGTAAAGTTTTAGGGGCTAATCCCTTTTGCTCTGTACGATCAAGGACGCGCCTTACAGGGGGCGGAAGGATCTGGGGGGAGGGAAAGCAGCTGAGGGAAGAGTTCTACGTGCGGTTCCAGGCGTACTCAGAAAGAGGGCGGAGTGAGTCTGATCGGGAGGGGCGGGCCCAGCGCAAGGGCACCGGGCTCGCGAGGGCGGGGCAGAGACGAGAGCGGAGGCTGCTGAGCCAGGTGGCGTCTGGCGCGCAGGCGCACACGGAGCCTTCTGGTCTTGGAACGTGTACGGCCCGCCATCTTGAGCGAAATGAAGAATGGCCAAACCCAGGAGGGGCCTGCGTTGTTTGAAGGGCAGAGTAGTGCGTACTTGAGTCTGTTTCGTGCAATGTCTGCTTGTTGGCCGACGCAGAAAGGCGAGATCCTGGGAAGACTTGGATTGGGCAGGAGTGGTGAAGGGATGGGGGAGCAGGTGGATAAGGAAATGGTGGCCAACTTGGGAAGGAGTTGACTTTGAAGGACAAAGGAAAGAGGCATGGTCCTGCCGCCAGTAGGCTGCTGTCGTGGGCGTAGTTTACGGATTGGCGTCAACGGTTGTATTAGAAGACCTTATGTCTCATTAAATATAAAGTACTAATCAGCAAAACTCTCTGGTACAACACAACCAAGAGAAGAATCAGAAAAAATAACCTAGTGTTTAATAAACCCATGAGTGCAAATTACTTGGGGAAGACCTCCCTGTTTAACAAACTCCTGGGAAAACTGTTAAGAGAATCTGGCAGAAACTTAAGTTTAGACCTACATTTTATACCATATACCATCATGAGCTCAAAATGAATATTATAGAATATTAATAAATACCAAAAGTCACACATTAAAATTAAAAGAGAACTTGATAAAGTACCTTTTATATTTATGGCTAGGGGGAAGAGTTCTTAGCCAAACAAGGGATAAAGCTGATCATGAGAAGATAAATGGATAATTTCAGTTATATATAATTAAAAACTTTTTGGACACACAATGCCATTAGAATAATAAGGGAATGACAAGTGTTCATTAAGGAAAAATAATTTTGGAATCAAATCCCTCTATAAAGGGTCAGGAGAAATAATGTTAGATTTAAATATCTCTTCAAAGGGTCTGCTACCCATGTTTACAAAGAGAACCAGAACAAAAAAGACCAAGAGGCATTCTACAGTGGATAAATAGTTAAAGGATGTAAACTTTAACAAACAATTCTCAAAAGAAGAATTGCAAACTATTAATGGTTATGTGAAAAACTGTTCCAAATCACTAATATAAAGAAACATGAAAATTAGAACAGCATCAAAGTTTTACCATACACGAAAATTAGGTAATTTGCCCTGAAAAAAGTAGTGGCTTAAAGAGGTGATTTGTCACATAGCTAGTGAGGTGAAGGCGTACTCAGAGAGAGGGCGGAGTGAGTCTGTTCGGGAGGGGCGGGCCCAGCGCAAGGGCACCGGCTCGCGAGGGCGGGGCAGAGACGAGAGCGGAGGCTGCTGAGCCAGGTGGCGTCTGGCGAGCAGGCCAAACAGAGAAAGAATTAGATCTCCGTCTATCTCCTGACTCAGTCCACTGTTCTTGCTAATATGCCAATTGATATAGGATTTCAGAGGAGAGGAAGGTCCACAGATAAGGTAAAAATCCGTAGGCCACAGTGGGTAGGATCCACATATTCAGGGAGGAAGATTGATTAATTTGAAATATATAAAAAATGTAGTTGACTTTTAAGCTCCCACTTAGATGTTAAATTCCATCATCTGTTTATCTTAAGCCTTAAATCAACAAATTAAAAGTTGTCTCACTTTTATTATTGTAAAAGTAGTCTAAAAATAGACTCATGAACCAATAACAACAAAAAAATCCTTATTCAATGTTGACATTTTTTGTGACTCCCTAATATAAATGTCTTATACCTTATACCTCAGGAGTAAGGACTTTTTCCCTCTGAAGAAACTTTTAGTAACAAAGTAAATGGAGTCCTCCAGCTTAAGTACTAAAATATCCCCCAAATTAGGGACAATAGCCAAGACTAAGAATGGAAAAAAAACCTAAAATAGGTTGGTAGATGTGTAAGGTTGGGGTTGAAACCACCCCACCACTGCCACCACAATTTTACTTGATGCCTTCATTATGTCAATGAGGAGAAGTTTGAAAAGTCTTTAAAAGTTACTTCAGGTGGAATGGCACCAAAAAAACCTTGTAATTGGCTTTGGGATTTAATTACACCCTCTGGATCCTGTATTTAAAAAAATGGATCAAAATAGGTGGAATGAGAGACTCTCCAGAAATTGGAGTATGTGTGGCTTTCCATCACATCACTGAGGATCAACTGCCGTTGAGAGTGGGGATGGGAGAAGAAGAGTCATTGGTTTCATCCAAGCTTCCTTCCTCCTCCCCCATGAACTTTGACCAGAGGAGGTGTTTTCAGCTTCCAATGGTCCCTAGAATGTGAGATACTTCCCATCGATGTCTTAAATGTCACTTCAGGGTCAGCTGGTGGTGGTGTTTGCACTGGGAGTCAAGGACAAAGATCCCGAAGACTTACCATGCTTAAAGAGCACTCCATAAATAATATGAAGGGATTCACAGTTGTGAGTGTCACCCCTTAGCTCTCTAAGGTTGAGCCCACTGTCCCCTAGACTCTTCTGTATTTGTGAGAGTGTGCTCCAAATGTTTGGGTGGATGTTGGCTGACTGATTCTCAACTGATAATCTTAGAAGGAAGCATGGTATGGGGCGGGGGGGGGGATAAAATCTTGGCATTAGAGAATCACCCCAGAACCCTAATGAGGGGGGAGATGTATCCAAAAGCTAAGGACCTAACCTGACTGTAGTATTGGTTATGGGGATGAAGTTGCCCCAAAGCTTCCAGATATAGATGCAATTGCAGCCTGAATAAAATAAAGCTCAGATGAACCAAAAAGGCAAAAAGGGCCTTACTTTTCTATCACATTTCATCTAGACATCCATATTTTTTTGCTTGAACAACCAAATCAGTGCTACCATCAAATCTGGAAAAGACATGTCAATTGAGTATCCAATGGATCACTTGGGCAACTCCCCCCGCCCCATATAAATCACTTCAACCCGTTAAAATGTAAATTTGTTGAAGGCAGAGACTGTCTATTTTTTTAATTTATAGTTCTCAGCAAAGAACCAGGAATGTAGAAAATATTTTTTCATTCATTCATTCTATTCATTCAAATGGAAAGATCTAAAGAAACTTGAGAAGTTCTGACCTAAGGGATATAATTTTTTCTATTATAAATCCATGCTGATAATCTTGGGTGGAATCCCCAAGGCTGCCGATGGTGGTGTTTTTAGAAATTAGTCCATCACTATTAAAGTCCTGGATGCTTCTGTTACCTTTTTTCTCCTTTCAGCCCTTATAGTGTGACTCACTTTTCTAGAAAATGTCCATCCACAAATTGTGTGACTATTGGGCGTGTTTCAGTCTTAAAGCCCAGAGGCTTTAGTTTCCTCTTCTGAGAAAGGAAGGGTAGGGACCTGACTAGAGATTTCACATCAGTAAAAAAATCTGACAAGAGTCAGATACCTCCCTTTCCCATGCAGGTCAGCAGCATGTTCTTTGCATCTTGTTATCCCAGATAGGTGTGTAGAAATGGCATTTCTATCCCTCTACCTGCACGTGCCCTCTAGCCCTGTTGGAAGCACCCTTGCCCTCAGTAGTATTTTCTTCCATGTGGCTGGTTTCTACTGGAACCTCCATTTTAAGGGGAAGAGAGGTCATCCAGGCTCTTTTCTTCCCTAGGCTGCACTGCTAATTCACCAGACTTTCTCTGCCTTGCTGGAGTCAGGTACCGTCACCCCGACCCAGTTTGCCAGCTTTGAAGCTCCCTTTTATTTTTTTGTTGTTATAATATTATCTTTCCCCATTGAATGTAAGCTCCTCGAGGACAGGGACTGTCATTCTGTATTTCTATTCTCAGCACTTAGAACAGTGCCTGAGTATTAAGTACTTGCTACAACCTAGGAGTCTCAGAGGAAAGACTTGAACCATTGTTCGCTGCTTTGTCGAGGGACCTGTGAATCAGTACAACTGTTTTGGAAAGCACTTTGGAGTTCTGAAAATTAAAGTGTACAAAATGTAAAAATTAAATTAAAATTAAAGTGTAAAAAAGTATATACCCCTTTTAGGTTTATAACCCAAGGAGACCATTGATAAGAAGAAAAGCCCTATATACACCAAAATCTTTTTAGCAACACTTTTTTGTGACAGAGAATTGGAAACAAAGTAGCTATCCATTGATAGGAGCACCAGGCTAAACAAATTGTGGCATGAAAGTAATGGAGCATTACTATGTTGTAAGAAATGATGAATTTGATGTATATGGAGAAGCAAGGAAGGGTCTACATGAATTAATGCAGATTAAGAGAAGCAGAGCCATGGAAAGCCCAGCCGCCAAAAAACCACTGTGTAAAATTATAAAGAATAAGCATGTCTTGGAAAATAGATATGAAAAGACACTCCCACCCCAACCCTCTGCAGAAGTGTTAGGCATTATACAAGTTTTCAGACTTTTTTCCATGTGTTGATCAGTTATTCTGATTTTTTTGCCTTTCGTTTCTCTTTTTTTGGTCTGTAAAAAAGTACTATGTTATAGAGGATGGTTTTTTGGAAGGGGAGAAGAAAGAATTCTAGAGAAAACAAGTGTTTTTTTTAAAGTTTTCACATTAGTGATGTTGTAAGGAAGAATTAGAATCAATAGAAGGAACCACAAGAAAGAGAAAACAAAACAGAAGGAAAAAAATAGCAAATAGTATGCTTCCATCTGCATTCAAACTCCATACTTCTTTCTCTGGATGTGGATAGCATTGTCCATCATGAGGCCTTTGGAGATGTCTTAGATTGCTGAGAAGGGCTAAGTTTGTCAGTGTTAGTCATCGCACAACGTGGCTGTTACTGTGTACAATGTTCTCTTGGTTCTGCTCACTTCACTCAGCATCAGACCATACAAGTCTTTCCAGGTTTTTCTGAAGTCAGCCTGTTCATCATTTCTTATAGCACAATACTATTCCATTACATTCATATAGCACAACTTGCTCAGCCATTCCGCAGTTGAGGGGCATCCTCTCAATTTCCAATTCTTTGCCACCACAAAAAGAGCTGCTGGAATATTTTTGTACATGTGGGTCCCTTTCCCATTTGTATGATCTCTTTGGGATACAGCCCTAGAAGTGCTATTGCTGGGTCACAGGGTATGCACATTTTTACAGACTTTTGGGCATAGTTCCAGTGATTTTTTTTAAAGGCATCAATAAACGCTTAAAAAACAAACAAGAAGCATTTATTGGCAGAAGGACCTGGAATCTGGAAGACCTGAGTTCAAATCCTGTTTCAGACACTTACTAGCTGTGTGATTCTGGCATGGTACAACCTCTATCTGCCACAATTTCCTGCTCCATTAAGTATGGAAAACAAGCACACTTGCCTCCCAGAGTCGTGAGTACAGCAAACCTTAAAGCCATGTGTGTAAATTGTATTTCTTTCTTTGAGGTCTGAGGAGTGTCATGCAGCAACAGCCTAGGAGCACTGGACCTCAGTTCAAATGCTCACTCCCTGTACAAACTGTTTAATCTCTCTGCATCTCAGTTTCATGACCAGTAAAATGAAGAGAGTAGGACCAGATGATGGTTATGCAAGTCTCTTCCAGATCTAAATCTGGAGCCCTCGTCTCAGATCTTCTTTGTGTCGTCTTCTTTCTAGCTATGAAGGGGGAAGAGAAGGAACCTATTTGCTATCCTTTATTGTTTTGTTTTGGTTTTTTGGGGGGGGAGTTTAGGCAATGGGGTTAAGTGACTTGCCCAGGGTCACACAGCTAGTAAGTGTTATGTGTCTGAGGCCAGATTTGAATTCAGGTCCTCCTGAATCCAGGGCTGGTGCTCTATCCACTGCGCCACCTAGCTGCCCCCCTCCTATCCTTTATTGTGTCTGTGCCTTTGATCCTATAGCCAGCCATCTTCCTTAGGATCTTTCTCAATCATGCCTCCTATGTTGCAATCTTCATTCTCTCCTGTCTCCACTGGTTCTTTCCTCTCTGCCTACAAATACCATCAAATCTCCCATGTAGAGAGAAAATAAATACCCTCCTGGATCATATACCCCTAAACTCGCTCTCTCCCTCTTCCCCTTCTCTCTCTCTCTCTCTCTCTCTCTCTCTCTCTCTCTCTCTCTCTCTCTCTCTCTTTCTCTTTCTCTTTCTCTCTCCCTCCCTCCTTCCTCCTCCCTCCTCGCTTTTGATACTTGCCTACTTTTTAAAAGAGCAGCATGGAATGAAGAACACTGAACCTCTAATTAGAAGATGCCTGGCTTTTTTGTTTGTTTGTTATTTTTAAACATTTTCTCCCCATTAGAATATAAGCTCCTCGAGGGCAAGAATTGTCATTCTTCTTGTATCAATAT